ATAGGATCATGTATGCGTTACTTCATTACACATAGCTCATTCGAAATATATCTTCAGTTTTATAACTGTGTGATATGCACTTTTCTCTAAAAATGTTTAAAGTTGACAAATATTATGATACAAAACACATACATACAAATTCAAACAAACATATACATAAATTTTTATACATACTAAATACATACATATTTAGTATTATACAAACATAACCGTACATACCTACAAACAACTAAACATACAATTTTTTTCAAGCATTTTTTTATAAAAATATACATACGGATATAAACATACAGTTTTATAAAAAAAAAACGTTTACAACAACATAAATACATTTTTTTAAAAACTTTTACAAGCACATCCATACAAACATATACATAAATTTGTATACATACTTATATAAGTACATACAAAACAAACGTTTCATACAAACATACATGGGCACACACACATACGTATATACAATGGATAGATTCCAACCGTATGAAGTGCTTGATATATATAAGAAGAGAAGATTAAAAGCACCAAACACAGATCTATATAAACCCGAAAAACTACCAAGTAATGAGTCGCGTCTGTATTTTGCCACAATTGGTACTTGCGTTTTGTTATGTCATGTTAGTAGTAATAATTTTTATTAACAAAATCGAGTTGCGTTTTCGCATGTACTGTTTTATGGTGTATATATGTGTGTGTATTATTTAGGGTACACATAATATAAGGCATACATAGGGCATACATATGGTATTAGGTATTGGGTATTTGGGTATTAGGTTTATGTGTTATGGTATAAATATATATAAGGTTTGGTGGTATTGTATCATATCATGGGTGTTTGTGCGATTGTTTGGGTATAAATACGTATTTTGTGAAATTTTTGGTGTTGAGTTATGTATAAATATATATTAGTTTGTGGTAGGTATTTTATGAAAATACTTTTGGTTATATATTCAGTTGTATTTGTATTTGTAGGTGTATTTTGTTGTGATTGAATGTGTGTCTGCTTTGGTATTTTAGTGTTTGTATATATGCTTATACTATTTGTATGTTTGTAAGTCTATAGCTAACTCAAGGTAACTTAAATGGTGAATTATTTTTTGTTATAAATTAAAATTTATTTGATCTCTAAGGATTATTCTAGATTTTGGCGAATTTTTTTCAAAAGGAAAAGTACTGCTGTTATAGTTATCATAATAAAGAATTAAAGTAATATAAGTTAAAGAAAGTATTTAGATAATAAAGGTTATTTTTAAATAAACAAATAAATATATAAATATATATAGAGAGAGACAAAAAAAACAGAGAGAGAGAGAGAGGGAGAGAGAAGTAGAAAAAGAAAATAAAAGATAAAAAAGGCATTTTGTACACTGATCAGATAATGCTCTTCTTGCCTGACAGCCAAACGACGAAAAGTTAGTTGCAGTCTTTTAATTTATAAACATTTTACTCGAAATCTTTGTTAGTCTTAAGAGATTTAAATTTAACTTTGTTTTTTTAAATAAAAAAATGAGTGAAAAAATGAATGATTGATTGATTGAATGAATGATTGACTGAATGAATGAATGGATGAATGAATGAATGAGTGAGTGAGTGAGTGAGCGAGTGGGTGAGTGAATGAATGAATGAATGAATGAATGAATGAATGAATGAATGAATGAATGAACGAACGAACGAACGAATGAAGAAATTTTGTTTTAATTATAAAACTTTACAATAACTTTGCTTCAAATTGGTGTTTTGTACACTTTAAAATGTAAACATAAACGTATACTTAATTAAACATTTGAATATAAATACATGAGTTTAAAAACATTTAAGTAATAATTATCTAAAATTTTTCATTTGGAAAACAATGCATACACACACGCACACATAAACATCCCATAATTGCAGAAATTCATTTGATTTCCAATTAAAAGAGCCGCGAAAATTTCATTAGCAATAGACACACACACGCCACACCGGCGCGTAACGCAGCGATCATTCAGTCCACTACTGAGATCAGTTTAAAATGTTGCGTGCGTCTGGGCGTCTGGTGCCTGTTTGGTAGGCCACGCAAGCGCAAGAGGTTCACACAGATTGAACTGACGTTTAAGAGAGGAGACTGCTGTTCTGATAATTAAAAGTTAAATTAAATTCAAAATTTTTTGGCCATGTTAATAGGAATGACTTCAACGTAATAAAAAAAAATTGAAAAAATACCAAAAACAATATAAACATTTACAATATTTATGAAAAAAAAAATTAAAAACACAGATAAGCATGAAGAGTAACAAAAAAATAACAAGAACCATATTGGCCAGCACAGGAAAAAACTCATCATCAAAGGAGAAAAGACGAGCAATTAAAGAGAGGTAGTATCAGAGGTGGAAAAAGTATGATGTCGCAATATACACTGATGATGGTCCGGACCCAGCTACCAAAAAAGAAAGAGCAGCAAGGAATGCTTACAAGGGGTCAGACAACAAGAGCAAAACCACAGTACATACCGGACGCTGGTGTAGCAGTTATGGAACAGAAAGAAGAACGATGGAGATCAGTACAGAATGATTCCAAGGGTATGAATAATTGGAGATTGCATTAACAATAACAGACAGCCTACCAATCATAAACATGCTAGGGAGCTCTAACAACAAGGACCCAAACAGCATTCAAATGGTTTGGAGGAGATAAGAAGTCTTTAAGCAGGAAATAGAAAGACAGTAGCTTGGATACCAAGACATTGTGGATGGTGGCAAAAATTCTGGAGAGACTGGGAAGAGAATGATCGGTCGATCAGCGAGCGACTACAACTACAACATCAACAACAATAACAACAACATCATTAACAACAACAACAACAACAACAACAACAACAACATCATCATCATCATCAACAACAACATCAGCAACATCATCAACGAAAACAACAACAACAACGACTACAAACGCAATAACATCAGCAGTAGCAACAACAAAAATGAATGTTTATGTATAACTTTAATGAAGTCGAAATCATAGGAGAAATGAGCCATGGCGTTCTATCTAAATCAAATTTATTTTAAAAAATACATTCATATATCTATTTGATTTTGAATTTAAAAATAATAAATAACAATTGAATTAATAAATAATAAAACTTATTAACTAAAAAAAAGTAATTTTGATTCGAATAATTAAAAAAATAGGCAAAAAAATTGAAAATTTTAATTTTTTCTTAAATATTTTAATTTGAGATAAGCTTAGGGAAAAGTTTTTTGCATCTGCAATTGCTATAAATATATAAATAACATTTCGAAATTAAATGATGAGTATGGTTTCATAAAAAATTGTAGTCAATAAATCATACATATTGTGAAACCTGTGATGTATGTGTTTACACGCACACACTCAAACGCGCACACACACACACACACACTTACACCTACACACACACAAAACGATAATACTGAATAGTGATGATATTAACGATGATAATAGTGAAGATGACAAAAACAACAATGATAACACACATGAGGTCGTATTTTGAAAAAACGCTTTTTTGGCTCATTAAAATTGCGAAATTTTTTCATAAATAAGAAGTTGTTTTTTTCAAGTTTTTAAATTGCCACTTCAATAAAAAAATAAATAAAGTTTGTTGAATATCACGTTACTGTATAAAGTTACATGACTTCAAAAATCCAAAACAAAATCCAAACATAATATTCAAAATACAAACAAAATCTAAACATAATATTCAAAATACAAACAAAATTCAAAGCAAAATGGAAAACTGCTAAACATGAAAATACCAAAACATACAAAACATAAACATACAATCGAAAACGTACAAAAATGAAGTTGAAAAACAAACCGAATACAAATAACACGTAACAAAGAAAGACAAAACTGGAATAAAAAAAATCAATTTTCTTGATGAAAACAAAATTTTATATTTTTTAAACAAAAACGCAAATTGAACACGCATTTATAGCGCTTGTAAATTTATAAAGAACCAGAAAAACCTTTCTTTTTTTATTCTATATAATATTTAAATAAATAAATAAATACAATAATTTAGTAACTTAGACTAACTTGAGTAATTTGACAAAAGATAGAAGAAGAGGGAGGCTTTTTGTGACTGGCTATTACCGCCCTTGGCAAGCAGACAGCAGATGATGATGAACTACTAAAACCAGTCATCACATACAACCTTATTACATTTAATATACTTTGTCATTAATTTTTTTAAATAATTTTTATTTGGAATTAATTTTTATTGTACCTCTCAAGTAGTGAAATGAGATTTTTTCAGATAGCTTGATCTGGCTGACAATCTATTTACAGGCTAGTTTAGATAAACTCGTCAGTGTCTCGACATGTGCCAGCAAAAAATAATTCTTGTCGAAATGAACGTGTTTAAATAAATGAAAAAAAAAGTAAAAAAAAAATGAAATAATTTCAAATCTTAAAAAGAATCTGAACAAGAATGTTTTAAAAAGCGTTTAAATAAATTTGTTTTATAGTTTAATGAATGAATGAATGAATTATGAATAAAATTATGAATGAATGCTGAATGAAAGTATGAATGTATTTTGAACGAATGAGTGAACTATTGAATGGATTAATGAATGAATGAATAAATCTATGAATAAATTAATGAATGAATCAATCAATTTAGTAATTTTTGAAGAATTCCCTAATTTTGTCTCAATAATAACAACAGCAGAAAATGTAATCAAACAAAAACAAACAACGACGAAATGAAATAATGACAAAACAAGATTAATACGCTAACAGAACAAAATACCTCTGAAAAAAAAATGTTTTTTTTTTTTTTATAACCAAATTAATGAGGACTCATATTTCAAGGTGGCTAACCAAATTGTCAGTGCCAATAAAAACTTTTAATCGTTAACAACAACAGATTTTTGTCGAGATAAAGTGTCATTGTAGTCTGAAGCAACATCTTCATTGTCGTCGTCATCATCATCATCGTCCTACTTGTCAGCTGCATCATTTTAATCATCAGTTTTTTGTCATCCTACTCCTCATCATCATCATCGTCGTCGTTGTCATCATCCTTATCAAAACATCGATGTAACGCTAAGCATTTACAATAGCAGCGTTGTTATTAAAAGGAATAGGTAGATATATCAGAATCGAAATTGTCTTCGTCGTTGTCTTCATCACCATCACAGTTATCACCATCATTATCATCACTGTTATCACCATCATCACCGTCATCATCACATCATCATCATCGTTATCATCATCGAAACGTCATTTTTGATAGCAACACTGACTTCGCTTATGCCAAAAAAAAATAAAAATTAATGATTATATCAGATATATATCTTCATTAAAAACAACATCGTCAGCATTGTATCATTATCATCGTTGATATCATCATCATCGTTGCGTTGTCATCACCGATATCATTATCATCATCGATATCATCATCATCGATATCATCATCATCATCATCATCGCCGACGACAACGCGGGCATTCTCGAACTCCCCAAACAATGAAAAATGCATCAACGACAATAAAAATGATTTCTGCGGAGATCGTCATCAGCACCGCCGCCCCTGTCATCATCATCATCATAATCACGTCATGTTCTCACTTAATTGCGGCTGGAGAGAGAAGGATAAACATCAGAGAGGGAGATTTTAGACTACCTACCTATCAAGGTTTTTTGATTTTCAATTTGTTTATAAATGATTTTGTTTAATTTTTAAAGCATACACACAGACACACACACACAACACACACACACACACACACACACACACACACACACACACACACACACACACACACACACATACACACACACACACATACTTACACACACACATACACACACACGGAAACTTAGAATTGTTTGTTTATTGGTACAAAGTTAGTAAATAAAAAGTATGTACGTGTAGATTTTTACGTAATGACGTCATCATTATCGTCTTCATCATCGTCATCATCCTAATGTTTATCATCCAACTCACCATCACCATTGATAAAACCGGCTCAGTCATCACTATTATCACCAAAGCGTCATCATCTTATCATCTTCTCCATTACCAAATCATCATCAACATCGTCTTCGTCGTCGTCATCATCATTGTCAACAGACCATCATTTCATATCATTTGTCTTTTTTGTTATCACTTTCTTTTTACTTCATTTTTTCTCTCTGTCTTTCTCTCACTCTCTCTCTCTCTCTCTGTCTTTCTTATTTTTCATCTTTGTTTTTTGTTTTCGTTTGATGTTTATTTGTATCGAGGGTCATGTTGCTATTTTGTTTATGTATGTATATATATATATATATATATATATATATATATATTTGTTGGTAATAGACCATAATTTTTACAATATTCTATAAATTCTACCGAATGTTTGGCGTATATTTAGATACACTAAATAAATAAATAAATAAATATATATATATATATATTTATATATTTAAATATATTTATTTATATATTTAAATATATTTATTTATTCATCTACTTACATATTTTTTTTATTCCACCTTATCTCAATCTCATCACAACTTCTACAGGCACTACAGCCAGATATGATGGCGAGACTGACAACAACGACGGCCGGTTTTGCTTACTTGATTTCCGCATTCTTTCCTTACCAACGTTTCATTAAATGAATCCACAATGGCATTCCACATTTTATATTTGCCCGTACACAACAATCGCCTGCACGTTTTGTGTGTGTATTCTCTCAAGTACTTGTTTTGTGTGTGTATTTTCTCAAGTTCACGTTTTGTGTGTGAATTCTTTCATGTACACTACAGTACACGTTTGGTGTGTACACTGATGATGCAGATGCAGATGAATGAGGAGATACGTATAGATGCTTTTTGAATATTCTACAAATAATTTTCATTAAGTATATTATTCATATTCGACCGATCTATTTGATTGACCAACCGACCAACTGACCAAATGTCTGACCTACCAGCCAACCGGCCAAACCAGCCAGCCAACCAACCGTTGTAATATAAAGTTTCCATAGCATCCTTGACATTCAGGCAATGGAGCGTAAAATTTCAAATATGAAAAGAACACTAAACGTCAGTTCACTTGGGCCCGCATCAATAACTAAGCAAACACTTGCACAAACATACGCCTACACACAATTACTTTTACACACACAAACACACACATATACTCACACATACACACACATACACACACACAAACAAACAAAAAACCTATAACGGTTGATGTGGATCACGAGATCATGTTGGTCCAATTCCCACTGCTTCCTTAAAAAAACATTCAGCCAGTTAGATTATATTTGTAATCTTCTGAGAGAGAAGTTTTTTTTGGAAAACAGCCTTGCAAAAATATTTTGGGATTTGTAAAAAAAATATTTTGCACGTTTGGCTAGACCAGCAATTTTAGAAATGTTTGTGCTTTATGGCGTTATGTTCTTTAAAAAATATGATGTACCATATTTTTTATGTAAATTTGTCAAATCACACACCCACGCACGCACGTACACCACACACACGCACACATAAACACACAAACACTAAACACGCACTCACATGCAACCATACAGACTGACGTACATTAAGTATACAATGACAACAATAGATGAATGCGTGCACGTATGCATGAATGTACTTACGCGTGCAATACTATTATTTAAGAATGAATGATAGTCGAAGTAGATGAATGAATAAAAGAATGAAAAAATATAATGAATGAATGAAATGATGAATAAAAAGATGGATGAATGAATGAATGGATAAATGAATGGATGAATGGATAAAGAACTACATGGATGAATGAAGAGATAAATTGATGGATGGATCGATTTAAAAAAGTAAACGAAACGTTAAGTTGAACATCGATTTTGTCAGAGTTCGTGTTTTGTGTGTTGATCGATGTTGTAGCTTGCTTTGAGCGGCGATTAAAAGTTGAGTTTTTGATTGCTGAGCAACCAAGCACCTCAATTTTCAATCCATTTATGTGTTCGCTTAACTCTTTTGCAGTGCATTGTTGGTCCAATCGACCAACGTAAAAAACTTTTCTTTTTGGCGAAGGTTTCATCGCTTTCAAATTTGTTTGTTTATCAGTTTGGGTGCCTATAACCGTTTTCATATTTGCTATGTTAGTGTTGTGTGTTTTTTTCTTTGTTTTCAACATGTTGATGTTCGCCACGTGTTGAACATTCGCCACGTGTTGAATATTCGCCACGCGTTGAACATTCGCCACGTGTTGAACATTTGAGCTCTTTTTAATTTTACGTTTTACAATCTCTGACCAGTCAGATTGCTTGCTCGATTCGGTCTTGCAATCGGATTGCTGCTTTCTTTCTACTTTTGGGCTATTGTTAATAGCCGCATTATTTACTATTTCTCGGAAGATGTTTCTTTCTTCAATAAATAGTTCTTCTAATTTTTTTAACTTTTCGTCAAGAATTGACTCAAATTTAGCTTTTTTAAGCTTGGAATTTTAAAAAGGTTGAGAGCAGCACACTGAGGCAATTTGCTCTCAATTTTGTTGCTCAGAATAGTTTTTATTGTTAGTATTAAATCACTAACTTTGTCCTTTTTAGAATTTCCAGAACTGTTTGGCTTTATTTTATCATCTTTTTCTAGATTTAATGCATCTAGATCGCTGGTAAGTATTTTTTTTTGCTATTCTAATATCTTCACAATTATAGAAATTCATTATTTCGTAAATGAATTCCGCATCGTCAATTTTGTCAGAATTATTAAATAAATAACACAATAACTCGTTAATGCAAACCGCTCGCGACATCGTACCGGAAAATGTATGTATGTAAGTATATACATATATATGCAAACAATTCTGTAGAATTCATACAATATTGTAATTAACTTTTTAATTAATTTACTATTTTTATTCATTCATTCATTCGTTTGTCCGTCCGTCCGTCCGTCTGTCAGTCTATCCATCCATCCATCCATCCATCCATCCATCCATCCATCCATCCATCCATCCATCCATCCATCCATCCATCCATCCGTCCATCCATCCATCCATCCATCCATCCATCCATTCATTCATTCATTCATCCATCCATCCATCCATCCATCCATTCATTCATTCATTCATCCATTCATTCATTCATCCATCCATCCATTCATTCATCCATCCATCCATCCATCCATCCATCCATTCATTCATTCATCCATCCATCCATCCATCCATCCATCCATCCATTCATTCATTCATTCATTCATTCATCCATTCATTCATTCATCCATTCATTCATTCATTCATTCATTCATTCATTCATTCATTCATCCATCCATCCATCCATTCATTCATCCATCCATCCATCCATCCATCCATCCATTCATTCATCCATTCATTCATTCATCCATCCATCCATCCATCCATCCATCCATCCATCCATCCAT